TTTTTTTTTTTTTTTTTTTTTTTTTTTTTTTTTTTTTCTTGAGACTGGGTCTCTACATAGTTCCAGGACAGCCAGGGCTATATAGACAAGGCTGGCCTCGGACTCGGTGGAGATTCTCCTCCTTATCTCCTGAGTGCTGGGACTAAAGTAGAATGCCACCACACCCAGCCTAAATTTATTTTTTTCAGCCACTGACTGTTCCTAATCTAAGATCAGTACTTGGTATCACCTTTTAAGGTATGTAGTTGGGTGAGCAGTAAGTCTTCGAGCAAATAGTTCAGAGCTCAGGAAGTAATGTGGCAGGGGAATCAACAATGCTGGCAGCATGTGAAAAGTAAAGGCCATTTTGAAATCCCACACATTAGTTTACTGCAATGTGTGCCCACATGGGTAGTAAGCATAGATGTAACAGAGTTTGTAAAGAATTCTGAACAGAGAAGTCAAGGGGAGAGTGAAGGGGACTGGAGGAGTGGTCATGTGAAATGGGCTCCTCGGTCATTAGTTCTGACTTTGCTCCTGCAGCTACGTTACGACGATGAGGTGAAGCGGGTAGTGGCTGAACCGGTGGAGTTGGCACAAGAGTTCCGCAAGTTTGACCTGAACAGTCCATGGGAGGCTTTCCCTGCCTATCGTCAGCCCCCTGAGAGTCTCAAGCTTGAAGCTGGAGACAAGAAGCCTGAAGCCAAGTAGCTTCAAAAGCATGTGGATTCTAGAGGAAGAATGACATTACCTACGGTTGTCTGTGTAAATAAACTAGGGACATTCACCCCTTCCTCTGTGTTTTTTGTTTGTTTGTTTGTTTGGCTGATTTTTTGAGACAGGGTTTCTCTGTGTAGTCCTGGCTGTCCTGGAATTCCCTCTGTAGCCCAGGCTGGCCTTGATCTCAGCTCTGTGTGCCTCTGTCACCTAAATGCTGGGATTAAAGGCGTGCACCACCACTGCCTGTGCATTTTTAAAACATTTATATTTTTAGTGGGGGTGGCAGCACATATGGAGGAAAGATGATTTGCAGAAGTGGTTCTGTTCCACCGTGTGAGTTGTGGGAATTGAACTCAGCTCTTTAGGCTCAGCATCAAGTGCTCTTCCTACTGAGCCACTCCCTTCCTCTGTCCCTCATGTGCTATAATGGGTAGAAATGGCACTGACTCAGGAGAGGGAGGGTGTGGGGTGGAGGCATTCCCTGCCAAATCTATTTAATGAGACTATATGCTACAGTGGTAGACATTGTGATCTGTAGGCCTCCATGTGTTTCTAGAGGGCTCTGGAGCTGTAATCAGTTTTCACAGTCCTTAGGGTTTAGAATAGGTGTGGCAAGGTCTTCAATGACAACTGGAGGGCCTTGAAACTGCTGAAGAAAGTCCTTATCTCAGCAGACTGTGTGGAAGCAGCTGATAGATCCAGGGGCCTGAGTGGGGCCAGGAAAACCCCAGTCTACTTTCATCCCACCTGAACATCCACAGGGTTCTATGCCAAGTGTCAGAGCCACTTAACTCTTACACTAAAGGAGTCTTGCCAGTTTCTGGTCTAAATCTACAAAGTTGTTTGTAAGTAGAGTTACCAGAGCTCAGGTAAAATGCACTCAGGAGCTACTGCTTCATCTATCTGCTTTCCAAGACAGTGCTTCGTTCCCTAGCTGCTCTGGGGTTGGTTGGCTCTGTGTTGAGTGCCTTCCATGGGCACTCCTGGTCTATCTGCTATGCAGCTGGAGAATTGGACTTGCAGCTGATGCTTTTGGCAGCTCAGGAGCCCTGGAGGCTGGACTGGACTGGGTGTCAGGTTGGATTGAGTGTCCCAGCTGGCCTCTAGCAAGATATTTTCATTGTGAGAACAGTAGTAAGATAGCATTGCTGCTTGAGATGTATCCCTTGGGAGGGTCAAGCTGGGTCTCTTAACTAAACAGCCCACTCATCTGAACAAGAACAAACATGCTGCTACTGCCAAAACTGAAGAGTCCCTATCTGTGCAGGGTGAAAATAGCCCCCAGAAAGTAAATGAGGCCATAGCCATCTCCCACCCCTCCACCCATTCCCCAACCCCCGCCCCTTATTCGGCATTAGAGACTGACACATGAAGGAATGCAGTAGCAGCAGCCTGTTTGGGGAAGTTGGAGATAGGACAGGCAGATGAAGAGCTTCTGGGAGGAAAGAGTCAGAAAACATGGCTGGAACACTACAGTTCCTGCTTTTGTCTAGTGGTAGCCATTGGTCTCCTTCCTTGGGTGACTTCAGTCCAGAACCATGCAGGTACAAGGGCTTCAGGGTGGGTGGCTAGGAACCAAGAAAAGGCTGTTGGTTGCCAGCAGGTACTTGGCTCTTTGAGCCTCACTCACATGGCAGAGGAAGAACTGTGGGCCTGGTGAGTGCTATAGTGGGTGACGGTATAGAAAGCTTATGAAGATTAGTTTCAGTGCTTACCATTGTTCTGGAACTCTACCAGGGCATTGTGCAAATTACAGGAGTCATATTAGGTTTTTGCCAAGAGGGGAGTCATACTTGGTGTGCACTGGGATAAGATCCATGCTTGGGAAGGTAACTATCAGCATGCATATGTGTGCATTTGGAATAGGGGAGGGGACATGAGATGGTATCCAGGCACTTTTCTTTTTACAAATTTATTTTTCTTTTTTGTGCATTTGCATGAATATCTGTGTGAGGGTGTTGGATTCCCTGGAATTAGAGTTGCAGACAGTTGTGAACTGCCATGTATGTGCTGGGAATTGAGCAGACAGTGCTCTTAACCATTGTGCCATCTCTCCAGCCCATCCAGGCACTTTTCTGATAAAGACGCCTCCTGAGCAACAGAAAAGATTTCTGGAAGGGTAGATGTTCAGAATAAAGGATAGCAGGGATCGGATGGATTCCTCTCTACTGTCTCAGGGCAGTCCATGGACAGCACTGTTGTGGGAGGTGGCCTGCAGGAGCCAGAGGACCCAGAAATGATGCCTGGCATCCTAAATTCAGGGTTTGGAAGGAGACTATGGGTAGACCTGATGGGGAGCAACCAGGATGGGTCCTACTACCTGATAGCCTCCCCAACTCCTTGTCCATTCTTGCTTCCATACCTGATCCCTAAGGACAGCCCACCCCTAAAACAGCTCCTCTTGCAGTTGTTCTGGGCTGGGCTTGAACTAGACATCATGGGACAGCCTACATCCAAGATAAGACACCAGGATCCACACATCCAAGCCATCGACTCAGGCTCTTCCTGCAGCACCACATGTCCAGTGATTTGCGGGGGGGGTGGGTGCTAAGTAGTGGCTACAACTCCAGGATCTTCAGAAAGGGCTTCCTCTTTGGACTTTCAGCACCTGCTTCTTACAGGCCTGTTGTGTATTTACCAGATCCGCAGGGCTAGCAAGGCTGAGAAGAGGGGTCATTGGGCAGAGGTCTTTGCCCTCTTGACACAGGAAACACTTTGGCACCTGTACAAGGGTTTCTGTCCCCATGGTCAGCCCACTTCACTGTGATCCTGGGCCTCCATCCTTGACTCTTGCCCCTACCCCTTCCCTTTCACTTGGCATTTCCCCTTGTCTTTGTTTTGTTTTGTTTTGTTTTTAGAGACAGGGTTTCTCTGTGGCTTTGGAAGCTTTCCTGGAACTAGCTCTTGTAGACCAGGCTGGTGTCCAACTCACAGAGATCCGCCTGCCTCTGCCTCCCGAGTGCTGGGACTAAAGGCGTGCACCACCACTGCCCAGAAATGATGCATTTCTCTTTGTCATCATCCTTTCCCTACTCTGGCAGGGACTCCATCTGTCTTTCCTGGTTCTTGCTATTCAAATCTCTAGCGTATCTTGGTCCCTGACTCTTGACCACCCATGCTTATATCCATTCTATCTTATTCCATAGACCCAGTTAAGACCTGGGTTTAGGCAATAACCACAATGCTAAGGGCAAAAACTGGCAGGCAGTGGTTACATGCATGTATGTCCAGAGATCAGGGCTGAAAAGTGTGTTTAATACATGCTGAAAGGAAAGCAGCCCCCAAAGTAATTCATGTCAGGTCTTCTAACTCCTATCCTGGCAGTCCTGTGAAATATGAAAACCCATATGCTTGTCACCCACTCTTCTTTTTGGTGGTGGTGGTGGGGATGGTTCCAGACAGGGTTTCTCTGTGTAGCTTTGGAGTCTGTCCTGGAAATCTCTCTACACCAGGCTGGCCTTGAACTCACAGAGATCTGCCTGCCTCTGCCTCCCAAGGCAGAGGATTAGAGGTGTGCACCACCACCACTCAGCCTATCACCCAGACTTAATGTACTCATTTCAAAGGTAAGAAAGACTCTCTGGTCTCTGAGACTGCAAAGTCCCCATGTGGACTGGGAATATAGATTGGACTTCAGTAACTCTATTTACAGGAAGGGGAAAGGGGAAAGGTTAAGGAACATTACCTCTATGTGGACAGGAAAGAAAACAATCTTGTTTCATCTCAAGCCTCACATGTGACATCTTAGAATAAAGCTGGGAGAAGACCCTCGCAGAGATACTAGCTCAGGCAGTATAAGGTATTTGTTGCCCTGATTCTGTGTAGCTCTGTTCTGGTCTCCCAGAGCCTGTCTCATTTTTGTGTCTAAGACAACTTACTCTAAAGCGTGTTCTAAGCAAATCACTCAGCCCATTCTGGGAGGGCATGAGGCAGGACAGCCAGGTATCAGCCCTGGTCTCAGTACCATGCCCTACCAAAAGAAGGAACATCCTGTTTCCTTGAATCCTGTGTTCCTAGTGGGTTAGAGTCATAGGATGATGTTCCCTGTCACAGAAAGGCACAATTTGAACCAGAAGAAGAATGTCGTTGGTGAGAAGTCAGACGGAGGGATGCACTGGACACAGACATGAAGGTGAGGCCTACTTGAATTCAGGGGACTATGCTTCAAATTCTTCTCACCCTAACCAGGCCTGACTCCATCTAGGCCCTATGTGTTGTCCTAGTCAGGGTAGTACTACCCCGCCCCGGGGAGAAGGGGAGGCAAAGGCATCACAGTCAAGACACAGGGCAGGCCCTAAGGCTGACAGAGGCAGGTCCACTTTATTGACAGAGTTCAGGCGCGTTGGGCAGGCTGTTATGCTCAGGCCGGTGGGGCATTCGGGCCGTGGTCCCGGCTCGGCATGCACGCCCCACGGCCTTCCCGGGTTCCTCCAAGCAGAGGCTCAGAGCTCGGGGGGCTTGAGGGCCGGAGGGCCGGCGGCGGCCAGGTCGGGGTACACCAGGAAGCCTGAGAAGGTGATGTACTTGCCGTGGTTGCTGTAGGCGCCATAGCCATCATGGTCGTGGCTGAGCAGCCAGACGGCGTCACCGCGCCGCAGCGCCAGCATCACGCTCTGGCTCTGCATCTCGCGGCGCCTCGAGGCGCCGTCGTCGTAAATCATGGCCTGCACCTCGTCCCGGTTCTTCATCAGCTTCACCGACAGCGTCTTGCGCGGCAGCTTGCCCAGCGTGAAGGAAAAGAAAAAGG